TCCCTATTTTATTTTATCTAAAACTTTTTTTAGGCTGTTAATTAAATGTAAATATATGTGCCATTCGAAGTAATAGACTTTATAGGCTGTTTAGGCAAAATCTTTTATTTTAAATGTCTTATTCTTTTACATTTAATCAACAACTCAAAAAAAGTTTCAAGATTCTAGGTTTAAAAATGACAATACTTCCATACAACTTGTACAAATATCATCTCCCCTTTGAACCGTTTACAACCCTTTTTTCGCATTACAAAAGTAGTCCATGTCCTTTCTCAGGGTCTAGACTATCTGAGTACCAAATTTCATTTAAATCGGTTCAGTAGTTTTGCCGTGAAAGCGAAACAGACAGAGTTACTTTCGCATTATTAATATTAGTCTGTAATATATTATCTGTGATATTAGTAAGGAGGTAAGGATATATTTATCCATATCCGTCAGCGTGAGACAGACAGGCAGACAGAAAGAGTTACTTTCGTATTTATAAATATAACATCAACTCGCCCCGGCCTCGCACCGGTGTACATGTATTATATAAACCTTCCTTTTGAATCACTCTGTCTATTAAAAAACCGCTTCAAAATCCGTTGCGTAGTTTTAAAGATTTAAGCATACATAGGGACAGACAGCGACTTTGTTTTATACTATGTAATGATGATGATTAGTAAGGATATAGAGTACGGTTCGACTTATAAAATGTGATCTTACAAGGATTATTTAAAAGAGCAACACACAAGTTTCTTGCTCGTTCTTCTTATGCTGAGACAGCTTTCCGAATGAGAGGTAGATTAAAAAAAAAATGTTATGACTATTCAAAAGTGTTTATAATAAGTTTATTTGAATAAATGATATTCTATTCTATTCTATATTAACCCATATTCGTGTATCCTTATGTAAGGTATAGTTATTTAGTCACGTCACTTGTATTGTGGTCTCAATAAATACTAGAAAGGTCTACTCCGGTGGTGGGTCCAGTTTTTGCCACTGTACAGTGTGAGCGGTGTTTTTCCGCGTTTTCCACGGTTTTTCTACCTTCTGCGTACTCGGTGAGTTTTTATCACATCTCATATTTATGTTTGACACGCAATCACTTGATACTTGCAATTTTAATATAATTAATCATAAAATATTGGATTTTTTTTTAGGTTAATAATATTGTTATGTTGTATTATGTTCTTCATTACATAGTATAAAACAAAGTCGCTGTCGCTGTCTGTCCATCCCTATGTATGATTTAATCTTTAAAACTACGCAACGGATTTTGATGCGGTTTTTTGTTAATAGATAGAGTGATTCAAGAGGAAAGTTTATATGTATAATACATGTACACCCGGGCGAAGCCGGGCCGAGTAGTCAGTAGGTAATAATACATTTTATTAGGTGTTGTAGAATTTGACATTACTTATTGAAACTCAAACGGATACTTTTTTACATACTTTCATTTTATTTTAATATAATCAATCATAAAATATAGGATTAAAATATATTTGATAAGGATCTGATGTAATTCAAATATACTATATGCTATGTTATTACTAGTTGCGTGCGATTTCACCCGCGTTTTAATTTCAATAAAAAAATATAACCTATATGTTTTTCTGATGCATAAGCTATATTATTGTAAAGTTTCATTAAAATCCATTCAGTAGTTTTTGTGTGAAAGAGTAACAAACATCCAGCCATCTATTCACACTCACAAACTTCCGCGGTTTTAATATTAGTAGTGTGAACGAAGGACTGTATATATATGGGGCTGGTAGATATAATTATGCAAACACGGGTTTTAGGAAGCAATAATATAGTATTATGTACAAAAGTATAATAGTTAGCAGAACCAGAATGACAATGAAAGACAATATATAGAGAAAACAACAATATATATTTTTCTATATAAAGCAATAGACAAAATACATAAATAATATACAAAGAGGTTCGTCGTGTACAAGTAGGATGATCTAAAATGTAGTAGTTGGTACATTGTATGTGATTTTCTAAATCATTATTATTTATTTCACATTTCTAAGATGCATGCAAGATAGGTATATATATATATAGTAGCAGACCCGGCCACGGCTGGCTAAGGTCCTTGAATTAAAATAATATTGCGACTATAAATTGAGATGTAAGCTTTCTTTATCCTATCTTTCAAGTTGGATCAAGTTGCATACAATATCCAAATTAAATTTGCAATCGCTTCAGTAGTTTAGGAGTCCATAGCGTACAAGCAACGTGACACGTAATTTTTATGTGTAAAGATATAAATACATGTGATCACAGATCAAGATGTCGTCATCACGCTACAAACGTTAAGAGACATGCTTAAAACAAAAAAGCCCATACCGAGACAAAGAGCCGACTGCACAGCGGCAGAAAAACACAAATTGCCTCGGTAACAGCTTCGATTCCCACCGCGCGACTGTTCTTTGAATTCATTCGTTTTTGTGCCGTTTCAACAGAATTGTCTATTAAAAAGCTATGTATGTAGATAATACTTAGAAGGTGCTTATAATACGGATAGACAGATTTATATATTGTCTATATATTAATTCTTGATTGCATATTGAATATATTATTTAAGTATGGTAATTAGAAATAATGTTAATTCAAATTCACTGCCGCAAAAATCTGGATCGATTTGTGACCGCCATTACGCCAAATAATAATACTGCTAAAAATTCAAAATACTTTAACACCTTAGGCGCCATGTGTATCTTTTTGTCACACAGTGTCTGGAACACTGTGTACTCATAAGTATACACATTTTTCTACTTAGTAAATGCGCTGTGTATCCTTTAGGAACATGTTTTCTATATATCTGTCATACAAATGAATGTCCTGGCCTGTCGCATTTTTGGGATGTAAATATTTTTGGAATCGGTGATTGTACAAAAATTTTATAGATTTATTTTAAAGTCGTTTTAAAATTTGACATTACTTATTGAAACTCAAACGGATACTTTTTACATACTTTCATTTTATTTTAATATAATCAATCATAAAATGTAGGATTAAAATATATTTGATAAGGATCTGATGTAATTCAAATATACTATATGCTATGTTATTACTAGTTGCGTGCGATTTAATCTTATTGTGTTTTTATATTTGAGCCTAAATAAATTAGTGCTGATTGGTAGTTTGTATTCACACGTTTCGACTTGTAAATGTGAACTTACAAGGATTGTTTAAAAGAGCAACACACAAGTTTCTTGCTTATTCTTCTTGTGATGAGACAGCTTTCCGAATAAGCGGTAGATTTAAAAAAAATGTTGACTATTCAAAAGTGCTTAAATTAAGTTGATTTGAATAAATGATTTTCTATTCTATTCTATTCTATTCTAAAACGGTCACTTAGGGTCTGGCGCTGAGAGTGTTAAGGAAAATTATATTACAACACTTATAAATATATATTATTTATGACATAGGTATAATTTACTTATTGATTAAATTTGCACCGCCTACAGTTTCTCTGCACATCCTGTGGTTGACTGGTAGAAAATGCCGTAAGGCGTTAAGTCCGCCATATGTACTTTTACCTTGGTATTTTGTGCATTGAAGTTATATAAATAAATAAATAAATAAACACTTTGATAGCGGCGACAAATCTCGACATAAAATGTGAATTTTTGGGTAGGTACGCATACATCACATGCATGTTACGTGTGTATCCGTATGGATATCATTATTTATGTATAGTAAAAAATTTATTTCATTATGTTATGGTATGGTTGTCTAGTACATGTGATTAGATACGCCCGCGTACGTATAAACTGAAAACCAGCGCTGGACGCCCATCAGTCCAGCAATAGCTGAGTTTATACCTATGCCAATCATAATAAATATGTATAAATGTGTAACTATATTACTATACTAATATTGGCAATAAATGGATTTATTACTATGATTATTTTTTTACAATAATTCTCATCTACCTTCTTAAGGAGAGGAGATGGCAAAGAGAAGGCAATGGGGGTAAGTACCCGCGGCAGAAGCACAGTCGGCCGGGGTTCAGGGCCCCAAACCGGCGTACAATGCGGACAGAATCTAAGAGCACCGCTTTCTGCATCTTTCCCGGGAGTGAGCCGCCTCGGAATCCCAACCGTCTGAGATGTTGTTCCGGACTATCATTATTATTAACAAAGGACTTATCTCTAAAAGAGATCTCTTCCAGTCACCACAAAACAGCGTGACGTAGCAAGTGTTGAATGGGTCAAAATAGTGCAAATAATAATTAAAAATAAATGTCAGAAATATTATTATTAATAATTATACACTTCAGACAAAAATTAAGGGAACGGAATTTTTTTCCAAATTTATGGGTGATTTTCAACAGCTCTATTTCAGTGAAAAATAATCGTATAGAAAATAAAAAATAAAGCTCTTGAAACTCTAGAGAGAAATGGTCGTATCGGGGTCCTGACAAAAGCATCTTGAAGCTGAATAATTTAAAAGAGCAACATGCAAGATTCTTGCTCGTTGTCAATGTATGAATCTGTTTACCGAAGGAGCGGTTGAAAAAAAATTATATGACTATTCAAAAGGACCAAAATATTAAGTTTATTTGAATAAAGATTATCTCTATTTCTAATAGTATTTGGTAGTCTATACAAAGAGTTACTTGTAGAGCAACCAAAAATTATTGATGTTTTAAATTTAATTAAAATGAGTCGCTTTCTGTAAAAATATACCCATTTTTATAACCGATGCCCGTACACCATTCTTCAACAGTATTAAAGAAATATAAAACTGTACTAAAATAACGAAAGACCATAGATAAAAGTAAAGATAATTGTCATTTAAAAATTTTCATAGAGTACGATTTTTGTAATAGGTTAATTGTTGTTTTGTATTATCAAAAACATTGTAAACTTTAGTAAACTGTGTAAAATTTTTATCTGTTGTCCTTTGCCATATATAGAGGTATAATATGGTATCTATATTATTGAAATTTAAATTGGAAAAAAAAATTGTAATAAATTTGAATATAGTATAAGGTGACTTACTGGTTCCATTCACATTGCGTCCGATGATCTTATTGGAGCCGTTGGGCTGCGGGGCGGCGGGGGTGTGCGGTGCGGGGGGTGCGCTCCGTCCCGTCTCCTCACCCGGACTCTCCATATCGCCCCTCTCGCCCGCACACATCAACCCGTCACCCGCCAATTCAAAAACTTCACAAATTACCAAAAAAGTCCAAATTAAAAAGTTACATTTGGCAGTATGACCTTTTGTAACAGTCCTGTAGAAAAAAATAAACCATAGACAAAGTTCAAATTTCCCGCGCAAAAGCGTGCACTACTTTCAGTGTGACGATTGTAGTCCGCGAGTTTTGGCGGCAAATTCGTAGGGTCGCCGTGACGTAGCGGTGTGACGCTCGCGTCTCGACTGAACGGGGACGGCTGTGGAGCCCTACGTGCAGCTGCATCGCCCCGCCCAGCACCCCACGCGACCCCCCCACGTGGCCCCACGACGCTTTCCTTGCCCTCAACTCGTACATAAAAAAGAATATAAAAGTGGGGGACCTACGAATTTTTGTGAATGTTTGCGTGATGCGTGTCTGTGTTCGCGGGTTTATATGAACAGACAGAAAGGGTTCAGATTCGAGCCCCTGGCGCTTTTTATTATTTTAAAATCGATGTATGGTCTCGATATGTAAGAACCAGGCACACTTAGAACAAGCCAAGATTTTAAACTGCTTTCTGTTGTCAGTTTCTAGAATAGAATTATAATATTACAGAATATGTAGATTATACTAGCTGTTCCGGCGACTTCGTTCGCATGGAATTTAATTTAAATCTTAAATTAATAAAAAAATCTATAATAAAAGTAGCCTAAGTTACTTCTTATTACATCAGCTACCTGCCTAAAAAAAGTCCCGTCAAAATCGGACCAGCCAGGTCATAATGAGTGTAATAACTTGTAACTTAGGCTACTTTTATTTTAGAAAAATTCTCTAATTAACTTTTTTTGTTAAATTCCACGCGGACGAAGTCGCGAGTACAGTTAGTTGGTAATAAAATACTTATAAAAACACTTAAATACTTTTTTTTATAAGTATATAAATCACAGATATGTACAAAGCAATTAGACGAATACAAACAATAATTACTTACGAATACAAATGTTTGAATCGTACAAGAATCGAACCCGCGACCATATAATAATGCGATATACTAAACCGCTAGACCACTGATGAACGTCGGCTCCCGTATAAACTATTGTTGCCACTTTCTCAAAGGCCTTTTTTGAAAACCAGTTTAAAAAAATAAATACTACTATATCTTTAAGGCTCGGTTAAGAATGTAATTATATACTTACATATATGTATACAGTACCACTATAACGTACCACATATTCAAACAAACCTATGATAAAACTAGGCACAACAAAAATCTGCACACTTTACCAAACTGAAGAGGAAACGCCAATACACATCCTATGTGGTTGTAGCCCACTCATGCATAAACGAAATATCTCCTTTGGAAAGTTTACACTCTTTCCCGAGGAGATAAAAACCATCGCTCCTAAGAATATCCTTCAATTCTTGTCCCTGACGGGTCTAGGCAGTGAACACAATAGATCTATGTAGGTCGTAGTGCTACAGGTGCTACAGGCACCTGACAATAGCCCAAACAACCCAATAAAAAAAATAGTACCACTAGTCTTCTCATATGACACTATTCACACACGGCCACTTGATTATTCCATCTCCTAGATTCCAATAAAAAAAAAGGAAAGGAAGCTAAATCCATCAATCAAGTTAGCCACGCAATCGAGCTGCCAGCGCAGCGCCTCGAAATTATCCGCATACACTTAAGTTATAACGTTATACTAGCTATGCCCCGCGGTTTCACTCATCATCATCATTATTTCAATCTGGAAGACATCCACTTCTGAACAAAGGCCACCTCCAAAGATCGCCACGACGATCCTGCGCTGCTCGCATCGGTATTCCAATCCGCTAGATCACCGAGGCCGTCAATTTTACTACTTCTTTTTATTTTATTTTTTTTTATTTATTTATTTATTTGAAACCAACAGCATACACAATACATAAAAACAGAAAGTACAAACCAATAGTATAGCTAATAATAGGTTTCACAATATCAGTAAAAAGAAAAATATAACAAAGTGACGGACTTCACACAAAAGATAACAAGGATACATTCCGAGGTTTCAGAATCATTTCTGGAACCTCCCATATTACGCGGCCTAGGTCATCCTAGGCCGCGTAATATGGGAGTTCATAATTGGCAGCATACATCAGAGTAGTCGGGACCGATAGTAATTGTTATGTATCCCTGCTACCATTACATACATTACTATATATGATTATAATTTTACATGTTACATTTAAATATACAAACTTAAACAATATATTTCAATACTCAACAAAAATAACACAAAAACAAATTGCACTACAGTCAGAATTATCGTAGTATAAATCCAATTACTATGATGTCTATTCCTCAGCCATTTATGTTATCTATTTATGATATAATAGGTAATTATTATTGATATAAGAGATCAGTTTAAAATGTGCTCGTAAACTTGCGATTTAAAATTACATTTTGAACCGAAAAAAAGATCTGCATTTTCAAAATTTTTATTGTAATTGCGTAGAATACGCACTATAGGGGCATTACTAGCATAATTGGTGGACCTTGATGGTACATGCATAAGCGGTGTATGACGTGTTCGCTTGGGAGGTGTACAGTATGCAACTCGCGCTACCAATTCAGGGCAATCTAAGTTACCGCGTACTATATCAAATAATAGGCACATTTCTGCTACAGCACGTCTTTCTTCAAGAGTAGGAATACGAAACTCCCGACAACACTCAAGATAGGAATTAACAGGACGTCTAAAACGGTAGGCAAGATGATCAACAAATTTTTTCTGTATACGTTCAAGACGTTCTATATAAATTTCGTATTGTGGTGACCATACCGGGCACGCATAATCCAAAATACTACGAACGTATGTATAGTACAGGTTTTTTAGCGTAGCTATATCGTGAAAAGGCGTAGTTACCCGCAGTACGAATCCCAAGGATTTAAAAGCCTTCGATGTTATTATATCAATATGTTGATCGAGGATCATTTTATAATCGAAATGTACACCAAGATCACGTACCTTATATTTCCGTTCTATTGACAATGAATTAATACTGTAATTGTGCATTATAGGATTAATTTTCCTACTAAAACTGATACATTCGCATTTCTTGACATTTATTGTGATGTTATTTTTCTTATAGTAATTATTAAGAGAATTCAGGTCACTTTGAAGTTTTAAACAGTCATTGATGTCACGTATTCTGAAAAATATTTTCTTATCATCTGCGTACATTAAGTAATTGACGAAATTAAAACAATTATCTATATCGAATAAATAAGCGTTGTAGAACAGTGGGCCAAGATGAGATCCCTGCGGTACACCGGTTGGTACATCAACAAAGTTAGAACGATAACCACCCACAATAACAGCTTGAGACCGATTTCTGAGGTAAGAATCAATCCAACGAAGTAAGTCACCATGAATACCAAGTGATTTCAATTTACAAAGAAGAATGCTATGGTCAACGCGATCGAAAGCTTTTTCAATATCAGTGTAGATTACATCAACCTGTCCGCCGTGATCCATGTTTTCCAAAACATAACTTGAAAAACAAACCAAATTAGTAACAGTAGAACGGCCTCTAAGGAAAGCATGTTGCCGATCATTTATACCTTGATGAATAATGGGATATATCGCATTATAAACAAATTTTTCAAATAATTTTGCCACAGTATTGAGTATAGATATTCCCCTATAAAACTCCACTTTAGTTCGCGATCCACTCTTGTGTAGTGGCAATATATGGGCGCGTTTCCAGATATCTGGAAATACACTTTCTTTTAAGGAGCGATTAAAAATAATTGTAATAGGAAGGGCGAGACCTTCAGCACACCTGGACCAGAACAATGGTGGAATTCCATCACTTCCGGCGCCCTTAAATACATTTAATTTGTCTAGCGATTTTCTTACATCCGACAAAGGTATATTACAGGTTGATATTATATTGTTATTAACTGTATCGACAAAGTTGGAGTTTGATCTGTCAAGAGGTTTACCAAAAACATTTTCGCATTTCTTCTATTTTTTCCCTTTTCGTTCAACTTAAAATGTTATAGCGTGATCTAAAATAGCCCTTATTGGTTCTCACACATTTGGGTTTAAATTAAAAAAAACAGATCTGAGGTTACAGTCTAATTACTTAATGGATTCAATTTATTTTCTTTAATTCTGCTACCATTAGTATGTGTGAGACCACAAATGTTCATCGCTATATCATTGCCATTGGCAGCTCTATGACCATTCCCAATAGTGATCATCGACCGACTGTTACATTGTTAGGAATGTGACCGTTGACAACTTTGGTAGCAATGTACCATGTCAGGTTGACCTTCACGAGGTTCCCCCTGGAAATCATCATGAGAAATTCCTGGTGAGTGGGGAAGGAGATTGTCAGTAACGTGGCTTAACAATCGAATTAAATGTACCATGTCAGCTTGACCTTCTGGTGAATTTGTCACGATGGGCTAACTGACCTGACCTCATTCTCATCTTATCATCCTCCACTGGTCCCCCGCCAGCGTAAACCGTTAGCGCAGGCGAGTGCACCATTCCATTATCATCCATAAGAACAACAAGTACCATGTCAGGTTGACCTCCACAAATTCCTGGTGAATTTACCACGATGATCTAACTGACGTGACTTCATTTTCATCATCACCTTCACAAAATTACATTGCTTTTGCATGCAGCTAGTACCATGTCAGGTTGACCTCCACAAATTCCTGGTGAATTTACCACTATGGGCTAACTGACGTGACCTCATTTTCATCATCACCTTCACAAAATGACATTGCTTTTGCATGCAGCACATTTTTTGCTGTTCACACTATATCTAGTAGTTCTTGATGGTCTGCTTGGTTCCAAGCAAATGCCTGCTCTAATATTTTCCACTCTGTTCTCTCTTGGGTGATTCTAGTCCATAGTTTCTGTAACTATAGTCCATAATGTCCATAGTAGCTGTAGTAAACTGTAGTAAGATGAACTAGATCTTCCCATCTTCTATTTGGTCGTCCTAAATAGAAGATTGTGGAGGGAAGGGGATTGTTACCATCAGATGAGGTAAGACCAAGCGCAATATTAAAAAAAAAAAAATGGGAACTAGTAACTCCTATTGCTAGCAATGTACCATGTTAAGTAGACCTCCACGTGGTTCTCCCTGGAAACCATCGTGATGAATTCTTGGTGAATTTGTCACGATGGGCTGATTGACCTGACCTCATGCTCATCTTATCATCCTCCACTGGTGCCACGCC